CATTTTTTATGCAGGCCGATAAAATCCGATACTCGTTTTTTGGCTGATATCGGACCGATATCCGATATTGATATCGGATCGGGACACCCCTAGTTAATAACAACAAAATGAACTGTTTGACAGAGAAGATTTGAACATTTTTTCATGTGAACAACCCACACACTCAGCTCTACTGCTCATCCCACAAATGCATGTTCCTCACAAATGTGGCACCATTTAAAAGGGAAATTAACAGGCTTTCCAACTGTATAAAATTTGTCATCATGAAGTATTATAACAAAGAAATAATCTACCCAACACTATTGTACTTTTTTGTGCTAAGTTACAAAAACCAAAAGTCAGAGCAACACTTCACCTGAATGAGCTGAAACTTTTATACTTTACTTAAAATGACAAAAAAGATGCAATAGTAGTTGTATTCCAAAAACATACACAACAGTGTGAACGATGAATCACCACTCTCACTATAAATGTTAAAAATAACATTCTTCACAGTTGTGTTTGTTTGTTTGTTAAAAACTTTGAACACAAAAAAAACAGCACAATCAAACTAACCTCTGAAATACTTCATCTCTTGGTATTCTGATTGTCAGACCATGAAGTGTTTTGTGAGAAAGAACAGTAAAACACAGAAAAGACAGCTTTATTATGTAACTAATTTACAGTATATTGTTGGCCTGGAATAAATGTGTATTATTAATTAAACCAAGGTTACAAGATAAAAAAACATTTTTCTGTTTGTATGGTCTGCAGGAAAATTAAAGTGAAAGTACAATCCAAACTTTTAAATGTTTATTTCTTTGTTGCATGGTAAATGTGTGTATAGTTGACATGATTGATTGGATTGTTCTGTTGTTGTTCAGACTGCCCATACCCAAGCTTGAGGATACGATCAGGAGGTATTTAGCTGCCCAGAAACCTCTGCTGAACGACGATCAGTTCAGGTACATTTGAACCGGGATGTCAGGTTGATTTTTTGGTTAAACCAGCATACGTGGAGCTAACTTTATGTTTATTACCAGAACAACAGAAAAAATTGCTCAAGACTTCCAAAATGGAGTAGGCAAACAGCTCCACGAGGAACTGGTGGCTCTGGACAAGAAGAACAAGCACACAAGTTACATCTCAGGTCAGTGAGTCAATTCTTCCAACGGCTTCATGAAGTTAAAGTCTCTTTCGTCGATCTAATTAAACGTCTTTCCTTCCAGGTCCATGGTTTGATATGTATTTGTCCGCACGCGACTCCGTGGTGCTGAACTTCAACCCCTTCATGTCCTTTAACCCGGACAGCAGGAAGGAGTACAACGACCAGCTGGTGCGTTCCACCAACATGGTGTGCTCAGCGGTGCGCTTCATGAAAACACTACGAGCAGGGTTACTGGAGCCCGAGGTCTTCCATCTGAACCCGGCAAAGAGCGACACGCAGAAGTTCAAAAACTTCATCCGCTGGGTGCCGTCGTCCCTGTCGTGGTACGGCGCCTACATGGTGAACGCGTACCCCCTCGACATGTCTCAGTACTTCCGCCTCTTCAACTCAACTCGCGTTCCCAAACCTGGGCGAGACGAGCTCGTCACCAACGAGAGAGGCAGACACCTGTTGGTCATGAGAAAAGGCCACATGTACGTGTTCGATGTTGTGGACAGAGATGGGAATTTGGTGAAACCGGCAGAGATCCAGTCTCACCTGAAGTACATTTTGTCCGACTCCACGCCAGCGCAGGCCTTCCCTGTGGGTGTCCTGACCAGCGAGAACAGGGACGTTTGGGCCAGACTGAGGGACAAGCTGGTCGCTGCTGGAAACGCGGAGGTTTTGCAGCTCGTCGATGGCGCTCTTTTCTGCCTCTGCCTGGATGATGAGAGCATGCGGGACCACATTCACGTTTCCCACAACATGCTGCACGGCGACGGCTGCAACCGCTGGTACGACAAGTCCTTCAGCCTCATCGTGACCAAAGACGGTCAGGCAGCCATTAATTTCGAGCACTCTTGGGGGGACGGAGTGGCCGTGCTTCGGTTTCAGAACGAGGTCTTCAAAGACACGACGGAGAAGCCGCTGGTCCACCCGGGCTCGGCTCCCGCCGCCGTGGACTCTGCCTCGGCCGTGCGCAGGCTGCACTTCAACCTGGACGCAGAGCTGGAGAGCGGCATCCGAAAGGCCAAGGAGAACTTTGACTCGGCCGTGTCCAAACTCACCATCGATGCCATGGAGTTCAAACAGGGCGGGAAGGAGCAGCTAAAGAAGAGCAAGTTAAGTCCAGATGCAGTAGCCCAGCTGTCCTTCCAAATGGGCTTCCTGAGACAGTACGGTGGGACCGTGGCCACGTACGAGTCCTGCAGCACTGCAGCCTTCAGGCACGGCCGCACAGAGACCATCCGACCAGCCTCCGTGCACACCAAACGCTGTTCCCACGCCTTCGTTTGTGAGCCCAACAACCACAGTGTGGAGGAGCTGCGGGCCATGCTCAACGAGTGCTCCAAATATCACAGCCAGCTCACCAAGGAGGCAGCTATGGGTGGGTACAACACTTTATGTACATAATACTGTGAAGTACTCCAAATTATTTCTTGTAGACTCAAACGGCACCAGGTTACATTGAAGAATATCTATGTTTTAGATGTTGAAACATGGATGGAGCTGAACTTTCTTTAAATAAAAATAAAGCAGGTCACTGGGTTTGGCTAAACTGACCTTCTGAAAGGATTCAGCAGCGCTGTTGGCTCCTTGGAAATCTTGGTGTTATATTGGACAATAACTTCAGATTTGACACAGGTCAGAGCAATAGTCCGGTTTAGGTTTTATCATTTAAGCTTTATTAGAAAGGTGAAGCCTCATCTTTCCTACAATGCCCCTGAGAGGCTCATTCAAAATTCAGCTGCCTGTTTATTAACAGGGACATAACGCACGTTTTTTATCATTTTTTTTTTCATGTTTAAAATGGCTTGGGGTACCCCTTTATCTTTCTGAGCTCCTGCATATCTATCGTCCTGGTAGCAGGGGGCGGAGCCAGAAGGACTCTGAGGTGGGAAATACCACATCTGGCGCCTGATCCCCCCACCCCCAAATAATTGACAAGCAGATAGGGATTTTGTAGTTGCATTTAGATTTTGTTAAGATTGTTTTCTGACACTACTGAACTCTATACATTTTTTAGCTGTGTAATAATTGCTGAATTATAGCTCTAAAATTAGCATTAGCATTTGCTGTTAGCTTAATTTGGGATAAGCATCAGCAATCAGCACGTGATCATTCTAACAAATTTGATCTCAATAAGGCTTAAAATGGCCTTTAAAAATTAGCTGTGGTGGCCATCTTGAAATTTTGATTAGCATTTAGCATTTGGTAAAGGTTATTTTGGCCACTTCTACACTAATTTTCAGCATTGTATGTGGGTTGTTTATGATTATTAATATTTTTTATATAATTTTTAGCTATGATCACACAAAAATTTCCAATATTTTTAAAAACAGATGAATTGAAACCATTTGAAATCAGCTGTTGTGGCCATGTTGAATTTTTAAACGCAGAGTGCTTTTCTTTATTTGTATGTGCCCCCTAAAAACATATTGGCCTCTCCTTGCAAAAAAGTCTAGCTCCGCCCCTGCCTGGTAGAGCTCTAACTCTGAGATGCTCTTAGTGGTTCCTAGGACTTGACTAGTGATTAGGAGCGACAGAGCCTTCTCAGCTGTTTGTGAGGTACAGTGGCTTTAACTTCAGAGTGCACACGCAGTAGGCCAGACTTTAAATAAAAAGCACATTAAGAAAAAGATGGCAATAAATTTGTACGCTTGAAATGTAATATATTAGAGCAGGACTTGCTGCAATAATCGCTCCTTTCCCGTGTCTCCTCAGGTCAAGGGTTTGACCGTCACCTGTTTGCCATGCGCTACCTGTCCAACTCAAAGAGCCAGGCCCTGCACAGCCTGTACACAGACTCGGCTTACGCTGCCATCAACCACAACATCCTGTCCACCAGCACCCTCACCAGTCCTGCAGTCAGTCTCGGGGGCTTCGCTCCGGTGGTGCCCGACGGCTTCGGCGTCGGTTACGGCGTCCACGACGACTGGATCGGCTGCAACGTGTCCAGTTATCCGTCCCGCAACGTCCATGAGTTCCTACAGTGTGTCCACAAGTCTTTGGAGGACATCTTCAGTGTTCTGGAGGGGAAACCACTCAACTAAAATCAAATATGTAATTATAAAGGAGAGGGCTGTAATTAGCTTCAGTTAACTGATTGCATAATTACAGAAGCAACAACCTGTACAACATGAAGGTTGATACTTACATTGTGACTGGGTTGTTTTTTCTTTTTTTCCATTTTAATATGGGGCATAAAGTGCAGGTCTGAATGTTTTCCTCTTCACAACTCGCTGAATGTTCTGGTCTCATTTGTCAGGCAGCTCATTAAACTCAGTGTGGGACAGTTGTGCCTTTTAATGTGAAGATAAAGCAGAGAACTTGTCTTTAATTGTTCTTACTGGATGTGACTTGCAGCCTTATTGTGATGGATTGGACTTTGTAATCAAACTGTTAATTATGTGAAGGAGCATTTGTTTACTAGAAATACAGTAAAACTTAAAGCTGACAGATTACAAGGACACCGTTTTGTCTTTACTGTTTATTTAAGATAGAAAAATTCCACCAAAAGCAAATGTACAAATGCAGTCGTACAACAAAACATCAACTAAAGTAACTAAAACACTCTCATTCCACGTGTTAGATGGGCTTAATCTTGAAGTGCAGGCCAATCAGACTGAAGACGAGACATTTCAGATCCTGGACCAGGTAGTAGAACACACGCAGACCTTCAGGGTCCCTGACAGACAGCAAAATGTTACTTCTTTCCCCTCAGACTGCAGCAAACACACAATGCCATGTCTATTTGTTACTCACTTTGACTGGTTGACGTCAATCAAGGAGCCAATTTTGGAAGTTGTGAATGAAATGTGCTCGTCCCCGATGACAATCTCCAGCTCCTAGAGAAGGAAATTCAAATATATATTAGTCAGTAGGGTTAATTTAATAGTTTGATACTGACAGGTAAAACAAATATATAATGGAAGGTGTCAATTAATTTAAAAGCAAACAATATAGACAAAAAATTGTAAATAATCACTGTGGAACATGAGCAGATGTGCAAATGTTTCACTGAATGATTTATAAAGAGTTTTCCAAATAAATGTCTGAATAAGAAAAAAAAAGAAAAATAATTGGGCTTTAACCTGTTAACAACTGAGGTTTTATTTTGTTTGTTTTTTTGTATGTTAATCATACTGTTTTAACTCAGATTTGGGAAAATGAAGCATTCCTAAAAAGTAACTTTCATCCACACTTTACTCACATTTTACTGAGTTCACCTTGCCTCACTGGCTCAGAGGCATAACAGCAGTGGATACTCAAAGTATTGCAAAACAGATGTTTAAGTTAATCATTTGTTAAAACTCATCACTAATGGCAAAAATTCATTTTCCCCAAATGTCTGTGTGTTTATATTGTTAGCTAAATACGTCACGAACCAGGAAATACATTTTAGTGAAGTATTTCCACAACTGATTCAATTTTAGAGTCAAATAAATTTAAGATGGCTGCCACAGCTAATTGACATTAATTTTTTTTTATTATTTCTTTTATTTAACCTTTATTTAATCAGGCAAAACATTAGGAAGAACTTGTTATTTGCAATGTCAGCCTACCTACCTGCCCTTAATATACATTATTTACAAATCTTCGACTCATTCTTTGAGCACTATCAAGTCACATGAGTTTATAAGTAATGCTATGAACATGGTGTGATTCTTTGCATTTACTGGATTTCTTCATTTTAAACTATTAAATTTTCACAACGTCTAAGTGTCATTGTTGTAAACAGAGACAATATTCTTTCTTTAAAAGAATTCCAACTTTTACAACTCATACCTGTTAAATTAATCCTGACTATAGTTAAACTCAATGATTCATTATTTGAATGATTGGAAAAAGACATCTCAACCTGTAGTTTGTCACAGTTAATATTGTAATGCATCATGGGAATATTTAACACAAAACACTAGTATTTCAAAAAGTATATCAAAAGCCTCAACATAAGGAAATATATTTTGTTTCGTACTTTTTGTTTTAAACAGCAATGTGAAGGAACTGTAGGCAACATAGTTTAAAATGTGATAAAGATAGTTAAAATATTTCTTCTGTTTTTAGTCAGATATTTCATTAGAAGAAAGTTAAATCTTGAACACTAAGAAGTCTCCTAAGTTCAGGTTAAAGAAAACAAATTCATAAAAGCAGATTACTCCTCATGTTTGCTCGTGCTGCTATAGAAAAGACAAAGCCAGAGAAGACAAAGTGTAAATTGTGTAATATGCAACACAAACCTGTCTTCCAACTCTGTCAGGAGGGGGCCACAGCGCATCGTCTTCCTTGGTAATTTCACTGTCATCAATGATCCGTTTCAGCTCCTCCATCACACTTTTGTGTACGTACGCCTGGGAGAGGACAAACGGGGGAAAGAAATAAAATCGTGTAAAGGGAGTATATGTTTTGAAATTAGCCTGATCTTTTACATCAGAAAATTTAGATCAGAACATATTTATATCATTTAGTGCTTTTACAGGAAGTTGGCAACTGGTTACATCATACATTCACCCTTGTGTAACCTTTGTTTTGATATCATACCCAGACTTTTGTACAAAACAAGAGTTACCTGCTATTGTTCTCTTTGCCCTACATTAAAGGCAATTTTTTAAAGCACTGATTCTGAACCTGAACCTGATTCAGAGGATTACCTCCTCAGCAAATTCTCAAGTCATCAATTATCTGTTCACTTAAATCAGACAGGCTGAAGCACAGTAACATCTTAAACATGCAGGACAGTGGCCCTCGAGGACCAGGGTTGGACACCACTGATTTAAATAACCTATACTTCTATAAAATACACAGCAGGGCCATTAGCAGGACCCACATCACCATTAACTAGAGAAAACGTTATGTCTGCATAAAGGCAGCGTGAATGCAGAGTTGTGAATGATGTAATCATCTGATTACAACTTGGTTAAAATTAGGGCCATGATCACAGGATAAGGACAATTACTAAATAATTAAAGATCAAGATATAAAGGGTTGACATTATAGCAAATATTATTTAAGGACAAGATAAGGACTGGAATTTAATTGATTAATACAAGAATAACTGTGTAACAAACAGACAAACACTGGAGCACAAACCTCACCTAATTTCTGATCATAAATACCAACATTGTAAGATAATATAATAGACTCTAATAACATAAAAACAACACGAAAGTAGCTCTAAACTTAAGACTCTTCTTAATAATAACTAAGATGTGAGTAACAGATACAATCATGGCTACACATTCATTAGTAAACATTTTACAAACATGCTTGCAGTTAAATTACCTCTTTCCTGATCATGACGTCATTCTTGTAGTTGCTGTTGTTTGCATACCTCAATTTACCTGCAAAAATTTTGTTATAAACAAAGAGTCACTTAAGAGTTACGTGAATCTACCTAAAGGCCACATGCCATTGTTTAAAACACATGTATAACTCAATTTCGCCACGTTTGCTCTAAATGTGTGTCCAGTTACTAGTCTGATGCATTATAAATACTCTGAATAACCAGGATTATTAATAGAACTGAAACGAAGGTGACGTTTTGTCGCTGTTGAGTTTTCTGCGGCCTGCCCGCTGCTTCCGAAGCTAGCATCGGTGAAGCTAAAACTCCAGAATTAGCGCCAAATAAAACTCACCGTCAGGTCGAAACTCAAATTCAAGGAATTCGTGTCCAAACTTCCCCTTGTGTCCAACATAATACCTCAAATAAAAGTCACTTGTTGACATATTTGATCCCCTACAAGGCAATGTGTTTCTGGCAAACTCTACCGAAATAAGCTAACACGAGCAACTCCGAGCTCGACGCCGCACCGATGTACGCATGCGTACTGACTGAGAGAGCTTTTCTTCCCTAAGTTTTGTCTTTCAGGTGACGTCATGCAGAACCTGCGAAAAGATTTTCAGTTTATATTTTTATGAGTTACTTAATTATGACTATCAGTTTCTTATAAAAGCCCAGAGTTCATTGAAAGGTATAGTTTATGGCCTTAAATGCCAAAATGTAGCTGTAACTGTTTTGTCAAACCTTGATAATAAAGTGTGCAACAATTTCATGTAAATTACTCTCCGCTTTAGCTTAAAAAAATTTAAATAAAATTTAAAAAGAATTGAGTTATAGCCATTTTGGGTTTGCTAATGTCGACCAGTTGAGGTTGTACATGCATCTGTTACTTTCTGCAAGTTTAATTAAAATTCGTCCAAATGACAAAAAACTTACTTACTTACTTACTTACTTACTTACTTACTTACTTACTTACTTACTTACTTACTTACTTACTTACGCACGCACGCACGCACGCACGCACGCACGCTAAAATGCCTGGAAGACAACGTACAGGGCATACTTAACAAAGAAACTCCTTCCCCGTCGCATTTAAAATACGTCATCCTCGACTGTCGTGCGTCTGACGGTTGTGAGTTTTCTGCACGTGTGAACTGTGCGAGCTCGCGGTCATGACGGCGCGCTCGTTCTCTCAGGAGCTCGAGGACTTGTTAAATCCGCTGCCCAAGTTTGCGGATCCGGAGGATGACGGGGACGAGGCGACGAGAGCCCGAGTGATAGATGAATTCGGAGAGGGCGAGGAGGAGGTGGAGGACGGAGAGGGTCCGGTTCGTGTCGGGACCCTCCGGAACCGCAACTCCTCCCAGCTGTCGGACACGGACAGGCGGTATGTGGGGAAACCAGTGTCCCGTAAACAGCTGCTGATGGACTCTGAGCGCTCCGATGAAGAGGAGGAGGAGGAAGGGGATGATGTTGATGATGAGGAGCAGGTTGATGAAGATGGTGTTTCTGTAGATGAGGAAGCTGACGACGTAGTAGAGGATGAGAATGAAGATGAAGATGAGAAGTTCTTCAGCAGGGAGTCAAAATTGACTGACGTCACTTTCCCTAAAAACGTGGACTTCCTTAAAATGACAGAGGGCATGGACGACCTGGGAGTGAGCAACGACGAAGATGATGATGAAGATGATGAAGGTGAAGGCAGTCAGGAGGAGTCTGAAGGCAGCCATGATGAAGACCAAAGTTCTGAGATGGACGAGGGGCCGGAGGAAGCCCCCATCCTCACGTTCTCTCAGGACAAAGTGGACGAGGAGGTGGAGAAAGGCAGAGCGGTGAAGAACCAGCTGGCCCTGTGGGACCAGCTGCTGGAGGGCCGGATCAAGCTCCAGAGAGTCCTGGTGACGGCCAACCAGCTGCCGCAGCCGGCCACCTTCCCCGACTTCAAGAGGAGGGGCGGAGCCGAGTTCGCCGGGGCGCTGAAAACCAGCCGCAAGGCCCTGAAGGCCCTCCAGAGGTCCCTGCTGGAGCTCCAGGACCAGCTGCTGCACCAGAACCCGGACACCAGGACCGTCGCTGTGGGGAGCGGAGACGAGGAGGGCGACGGCGATGCGGGGTGGCCGGCGGAGGGGGCCGGCGCGCCCAAAAGGAAACTGGAAGTGGCGGAGTACCCGGCGTTGATGGCGAAGCGTTTCGCGGCGTTCCAGCCGTACCGGGACGCCACCCTGCAGAGGTGGCACGACAAAACCCGCCTGGCTTCGGGCAGGAGCGGCCGGGGGGGCTTCGGGGCGTTCGACAGGAACATCCTCACCCAGGTGGAGCAGGTGCTGATGGACCGGGAGAGGCTGGTGCGGCGCACGCAGACCCGACGCTCCGAGTACGCCGTCCTGGGGAAGAGCGAGGCCCCCGCCGCCGCCGCTCCGGAGAACGCTGACGGCGAGCAGCAGCTGAAGACCAACGCTCACCTGAAAGACCTGGACGAGGACGTCTTCGACGACGACGACTTCTACCACCAGCTGCTGAGGGAGCTGATCGAGCGCAGGACGAGCGCCGCCGACCCCAACGACCAGGTGGCCGTGGGCCGGCAGTGGCTCGCCATCCAGAAGCTGCGCAGCAAGATCAAGAAGAAGGTGGACACCAAGGCCAGCAAGGGCCGCAAGCTGAGGTTCCACGTCCACAACAAGCTGCTCAACTTCATGGCCCCCGTCCACCACAGCTCCATGAGCGACGAGGCGCGCAGCGAGCTGTACCGCGGCCTGTTCGGACACGCCGTCAGCAGCTGAGGGCCACGGGATGAAATTTGTTGGATCAAATCAAGATGGCTGCCTCAGCTAATTAGCGAACACAAACTGGCAACGTCTCAAGGAATTTTTTTAACGTGACTTTGAAGTGCCCGTGACATCGTTTTTGTAATAATTCAGAAAAAAAAAACTGCAAAGATAATATTGAAATAATAGTTTTCACTACTCTGAGTTGGGCAGTTGTTGAAGTATTCATGTGAACAGGAAGTGATGTCAAAGGGGAACCTCTGCGTGTAAACAGTAGTGTTGGGCACAATTGTAGTGCCTGTGACATGCATCCTTCAAATACAAAAAGTCAAAGAAAACATATTTATATTTAGGAAACTTGGGGAAAAATAAACATGAATTTACGCGTTTTGTCATATAACTGGTTTATTTTCTTTTGAACTGGACTCAGCCAGAGTGAAACAGGAAGTGACATCAAAGGGGAAGACTTAATGAAAGAAAACTCTTATCTTTTGTTTACTGAAACGCTATTATTTGAACTTTGAATCTTCATCTCTGATGGTGACTCAGAATCGTAAACATCAGATTCTTCACTGTCTGTTAACGGTTGTAGCAGTGTTCTGTTTACATGCAGTTATTCCTCTTTTGATGTCACTTCCTGTTAATTCACGTGAATATCTGAACAACTGTTGGTCTCAGCAGCATTGTTTTGTTGCAATATGTTATCATTGTTATCTCTTGAAAAATGAATTACAAAAATTTGATGTCACAGGCACCTAATCGTCAGAAAAACAATTGTTTATTTTCTGACACTTGACGATTAATACGATTAATGCCACCAGGCAGAGGTCACTCCTCTCTGCTTCAAATATGACGAACATTTTTTTTAAAAAGTTCTGTAATTTATTCATCTATCAACACAATTCAAAATTAGATGTATATCCTGAATAATTTTGACACAATTTGGAACAGGTTCTTAAGAAGAGCAAATCTTTCCTGCTAAACTGGTCATGTGACCAGGACATGAGGGTGTATTTTGGGTATTTTTAGGGTATTTTGCCAATATTGCCCAACCCTAAAACAGAGCATTGCTATGATAAGAGACTGTAGAGAAGAACCTGATGTTTCTTTAGATTTTGTTTCACTATCAGATGAAGAATCAGTTCAAATAGTTTCAATATACAAAGCAGAGTTTCCTTTCTTAAAAAGTTCCCCTGTGATGTCACTTCCTGTTTCACTCTGGCTGAGCCAGTTTCAAAAGAAAATGATAGTTGTGACAAAATGGATGAAATCTTGTCTTATGTCAAATTTCTTTAATATAAAGATGTTTTTATGAACTTTTTGTATTGGGTTTATAGGTGTGCCTTAAGGCACTTTAAGAAAACCTTCCATCAGTTGAGTAGTGACTGTGCTTTTCTCACTTAAATTGTACAGTAAAAAATAAAAACATCATAAGCCTGTATCAGATGCTAATGTTTTATTTAAATAAAGGGTTATATACAGCATGACAACGCCATGATAAAAGTCTGTTCTGGCTTTAGGTTTTGGTTGACCTCCTTAATCTGATCAGTGGAGTCCCATCTGGTCCTCAGCTCATATAAGTACAGCAGGTAAAATAAGTATTGAACATGTCACCATTTTTCTCAGTAAATATATTACTAGAGGTGCTAATGACATGAAATTTTCACCAGATGTTGGTAACAACCCAAGTGATCCATACATACAAAGAAATCAAACCATAAATGTCCAGAAATGAAGTTATTTGTATTTAATTATGATACTTGAAGTTTTATTTAGAACCCGAGACGTTCGTCAGAGGAAATGTAAATACAAAAATACATTTTAGTAAACAAAAAACACAAAAAGGAAGTATCAAGATTAGCATAAGTGAAATAAAAAACAACAAAATTTCATCAAATAATTGTGACATGTGTTTCACCTTCCAAAGAAAATTACTAAACAGGAAAAATAAAAAAAACACTTTGAAGTCCAGCTCTGAGACAACAGGACAAACATCAAGAATCTCAAACCTTTTGTTTTTCACTTAATCATAAAAAATATATAAACAGAAAATAAAATGGTCCCTTTATTAAACTGTCACTACACAGCAATTAATAAATGTTCTGAATCTGAAACAACCTTTCTGTAGTTTCTCATTCTTGTAGTAAAGACAAGTAGTTTTGTCTTCAAAGGAAATAAAAAGTGAGCACCTTTGTGTTCCTGGAGAGGAAAAACCTCTCAGAGTGTGAGCTCCACTAAGTCTCTGGTTGTGTGGGTTTCTTCAGTCCAGGAGAAAAACAAAGTGAGGCCAGCAGAGGTCAACCTTTCCTTCATCTGAGGCGGAGCTCCGGGATCAGTGGTGCCGGCTGTTCGACTCCACGTTCTGCTGTTTCTCTGTTCCGTAACCACCGAACCACCCGTTGGGCCGCTTGGTGAGACCACCGTTCAGAATGTCTTGGATGTGCTGAACAATCAGGTTTATAGCAACTGTATTAAAAAAAACAGTATAGCATGCTCAGGGTTAGTTACAGTTTTAATCTTTAATTTGGGTTAAAAAGCTGAAGGAGGAGTCTCACTGGGCTGCAGCTGACAAACAGCAAAAATAAAACTATTTCTTGTCATTTAGCATTAAAACAACTTCAGAAAACAAAATTATCGATTTTTAGCATTAAGCTTGAATTCTGTTGTGTTCCAGAGGATTTTGATAAGAAATAAGCTTTTTATATCTGTAAGGGATGTAGTTTAATGGGGCACCATCAAACATCAGTACCTTGGATGCAGAAAAACATGGTCTATCTATTGAACTATGTGGTTGGTCCTTTGAGCAGGATAACCAGAGTCGAGTTATTGAAAACAACAGGTCGCAAACACTCAGAATTCATAATTTAGAAAGAAAATTTTCTCCCAAATCTGAATCATTGACTAATCTCCAACTGACACAGATCTGTGAGCCACTTCCTGAAGCATCTGTTCATCTGTGAAAAGTCTTAGTGATGGAAACATCCAACTTACAGCTAAATCTGTAACTTCAAAAAGACAAAATAATATAAAAAGCATGCTGATTTAGTATTTTATGAAGCTCAACTAGGAGAGTAAACCCAGTGAGTCTACAGTCTGGGTTTCTTCAGTTTGTTTTTGCTGCGTCAGCTCCCACAGAACGATTCACAGCACAGACATAAAAAGAGCAGCTGTGTCCTTCAGAACAGCACTGTTGAGTCTAACATTCTGCTGCTGTGCCTCCCCGACCCTCAGTACTCACTGATATTATCCACTCCTCGGGGTATTATCACGTCTGCGTATTTCTTGGTCTAAACAGAAAGAAGAGCGAGGAAGGCTGGAGTTCTTGTTCCAGATCACAAGTCTGAGAACGACACTTACTGGCAGGCAGAACTCCTCAAACGCAGGCTTGACAAACGTGATGTACTGAGCCAAAACGCTCTCCAAGTCCCGGCCACGTTCGCTGATGTCCCGCAGCACTGAGATCAACAGAAACAGGAAATAATATCAGAGGGGCAGTTTTACTGAACAAACATGGGAAAGGAGGTGAAGAACAAAGTCTCTGAGCCAGATGACTCTACAAAACCTGCACAGTGCCTTATTTCAGCCACAAGAAACTATAGAAACACAAAAAGGTTAAATATATAATCATAATTCAATCATTGACATGTCATCAATTTGAGTTTTTAAAGCTTATTATTCAACCATTCCAAAACAGAAACCTGCAGCTGCTCACCTGAATGAGACAAATATCTTTCAGAGAAAACATGTATGTTAGACGAGACCAGGACTGTGTTTTGTGGCCTCAATAACAATAAGCATGATCAGGCTTTAAAGGGATCCCTGATTAGTTGTAACATTAGACTTTATTTGATAAACATATATTTTAACTGTAAAATAAAGACCGTAAAAAATACTGTAGGCTGTGTAGTTTGCAAATTTTTTAAAATATATTTTAATATGGACTGAGCCATTTAATTTATAGGCAAAGCATTCTGGGTAAATGATGACATCAACTGGGTCATTGGTGCGAGGCTGCTAGCGAGCTATATCCACCCTGAAGGTTAATCT